CCATCTTACTATTCTATTTAACCCAAGAACTTACCATTGTTATTTTTTACTATTATTCTTTTTGTACTTTATTGTGAATTTTAGTTTGTCCCAATTTAAACTAGTTATAATCTTGATCTTGTCCCAACAAACCTATACCAGACTCTAGTGCAATTGCAAGTACCATTTCAAATTGTATTTTTATATTATAAGTTATTATTATAAATTCCTACCATATAGTTCCATTTTAACTTTGTTTACCATTACTTAATTTTTGTCCCTTATAGATTTTCCTTTATTTTTAGCTTTATATAAAAAACTATCCTAGGTTTATATATTCACATTGTTAAATAATCAAGGTGCTATTCTTCAGTGCTTAAAGATAGAATAAGTTCACAATTTTGCAATTATATTCAAAGCTCATTTATTGATTACCACTTTATTGTTCACCACAACTTATAATTTAGTCCCTTTTATATTATAATTTTATTATTATAATTCTAACTTAAAAAATTACCTTTTTATAGTACTACCTACTATCATATTCCAAGCTCACTATTTGATCATAACTTTATTTGTATTAGTTCCCTTTTATATTGTCTCCATGATTTTAGCTTAAAAAAAAAAACTTACCTTAGCTCATTATTTTACATTTGATATAATAAATATAATTTTTGTCAGGTGCTTATTTTTTAGCTTAAGACTATTTACTTTGTTTTATACTTAATTCTATAATATAGATTCACTAAATTTTATGATTACAAGCATTGGACTGATACCAACCTCTTATTTAATGACTTAAATGAATCAAACAGTTTCTGTAATTACTACATGCAGAACAATCAAAGCGCACTTCTCAGTGCCAACAAACATAACACTATCTTAAAACTACAATTATCAGATCTTTAAGCAAGCATTCGATGACCTCCTAGCATTACTATATTCCTTACATGCCATATGTCCATCATTACAACTAACTGAAACTGGTCTTAAAGCAATGTAGTTCAGATGTCATGCCATTCCTGGATACACAGCCATACTAACTGTTAGGCCAGGACAACAAGGGGGATGGCACAGCCATATACTATCAGGAACAAATATACAAAGTATCCACTAATACTTGCACTAGCGGATGAACATGGGGAATAGATATAGCTACATTCAAATCCAAATGCATACAAAAACCTCTCACATTGATAATAAACATCTACAGAGTTCCACAGTCAAAATTAAGCCAATTTAGTCAAAACCTAGGGAAGTATGATAAACTGATGCACGCATGAACAAAGATCACTGCTACTCTCAGGTGGACTTCAATATAAAATCTCCTGCAAGACCAGGACCCACACGTTACTGAATTCAAAACACAAATGAGTAACTGTATGTTACTACCAACAGTAACAAAACCTACAAGAGTTACAGAGACTAGTGTTTCCCTACTTGACCACATCTGGGACCAACACCCATATTCCCCTTTAAAATCAGGGCATAATTACAGATAATACCACAGACACTTACCCTACTTTCCTCATAACAACTCTTGGTAAATTACCCCAAGACACTACTAAAGTCACCTTCAGCCCTTCACAATGAGGCAGCCATTAATAATTTCACAACAGCAATAGCAAAACATTGATTGGTACACTGAGCTAGAAATCTATACAGATTGACGAATGTATTAATAATTTTCTAAAAAAAGACCCAATACCTCTATAACAAGCACTGCCCTAAAAAACTAAACAGATGACAGCTAAGAGACTGAAAAAGTCCTGGTTTAACACCCAGCATTCTCAAATCCATAAATAAAAAAACACCAATTTGAAAAACCAGTACAGAATGGGTCACATAACCAGAGACCAAATAAAACGTTAATCGTCAATCCTAACCAGCCTGATAAGAAAAAAAAAATTGTATTATGAGAACAGATTATCCAACTTACGAGGTGATATAAAAAAGCCCTGGAAAAACGCTATCAGAAATTCTGGGAACAAAAAAAGATATCACGAATTAGCGAAATAAAATTAGCAAAATCAAATAAACCCCCAACTCCCACCAACAGAAACAGCAAACAGACTCAATGATTTCTTCTCCACTATAGGACAAAACCTTGCCAATAAATCCCAAGCTCAGATACCCCACCAAATGGCTACCTCACCGGCAACTACCCGAATACACTGTTCCAGCTCGACTAACCCATACGAAGTCTCCCTTATTTTTCAACGCACTAAAAAACCAAGGCAGGAGATTTAAGTACTTACCACCCTTTATATACAAAAAAGTGTCACAAGTGCTGTCACCAATCATTGCAACACTCTTTAACAAATCCATTGAATCCTCCACCTTCCACCAGTTTCTCAAAATAGCAAGAGTCACCCCGATTCATAAAGGAGGAGACCAGAGTTGAATAACTATAGGCCAATATCCAACTTACACCCTCTCTCAAAAATCTTCGAAAAATTAGTTCATAAACGAATCTACTCCTACCTTATCTCCCAAAACTTACTCAACCCCTGCCAATTTGGATTCAGGCCTAATAAAAATACTAATGATGCTATTATACACATGCTAGAACATATATACACTGCAATAGAGAAAAAAGAAGTCCCACTGGGGATGGAAATAAATGGTATAAAATACCGACACAATGGCAATATAAACACAAATGCAGTATAATGTGATCCTTTATTGACTACGTTTCGCCCACACAGTGGGCTTTTTCAAGTCACAAACAGAACTCTGTTTGTGACTTAAAAAGCCCACTGTGTGGGCGAAACGTAGTCAATAAAGGATCACATTATACTGCATTTGTGTTTATATTCCCACTGGGGATCTTCATTGACTTACGTAAAGCTTTTGATACAGTTGACCATGACTTGCTCCACGTAAAATTGTCACACTATGGTATAAGAGGGCACTCCC